GAATTCACTGTCCTTCGGGCCATTTGCACATTGTAATTACCAATGGATTGCACAGGTGTAAAGAGGAAGCTACACTAGGGTGGATCATGCTAGCAAATTTCTAGTTTCATATTTACCAATTCTGGTCCACCCTGGACAGGTTATAAATATATAGATCAGAGGTGCACTTTTTTTTTCTTTTTTTTTTTTTCTTTTTTTTTATCAGACAAATGTTTATTCCGGTAGAAGCTATTGTTTCTCAAGCCAAGTCTGTATCATTATATTTATAATAAAGCTTGGGGAAAGGTTGATTGCTTTAACTATACAAATACAGTAAAAGCTGCAAAACATCCCAGCACCAAGAAGCCTTTGCTCGTTTAACCTCCTTTTCCTTGGTGCAATACTTGTTATGCTGCCAAGATTTTTTTTGTTCAGTGTAGATAAGGCTTTATCATCCTTCTCTTGAGTGCCAAGTGGAGGGGCAATTGCAATTAACCCTTTTGTTGGCTGAAGGCAACTGCAGGGAGTGTCCCTACACTTTCCAGTTTTCATAAGCATCAAAGCTGGAGAAAGAAATGAGTCTCTGCCTGTTCTCTAAGCAATAACAAACATGGAAGAGGAATGCTGTTTATTTGGTGCAGCTGGAAAGAATGAAGATGATCTTCTTCCTTTATCCCTTTCAGGAATTCAGACCGCTGTTAGGTAACAAGAAAACTATGCTAATAATTTTCTACCTAAGTAAGCAAGCATTTCACCACTGATGCTCCAATTGGCTTCTCTGCTGCCACCAAGATGCACAGGTAAAGAATGAAGCTCATATAGTGACTACAGATCCACAGAGAAACTTTTCTGCTTAAGTGCACTATAGCGATTAATGCATTTGAAGACACTGAGCAGAGGAATTTTCAATTCCCTTTTTAATTTATGCACTTTTAACAGGGCTAATAAAACTTCAGTGTTTAGCTTTAGGATAAGATCCACTCCTAGACTGTATTCCTTCCCTTGCTTGGACTAAATTCATTTTTAGGCATAAAACTTAGCTTTCTATTCTTCAGGAAGTGGTGCTCAGAAGTAATGTTTTTAAGTTCTTTGCTCAGCTCTCCATTTGCATTGGACTCAGGGACCTGGGGCTGGGAGTTGCTCTCAGTATCACGACAGCTGGACATTAGAGACTGCACAATGAAGTCCCATTTGGCTTTTCAGTTTGGCTTTTTCCCACTTAGCACTGATGAGGCTGTCTCTAGACAGACTGGTGCAGGCAGTCCCAGGGCTGGTCTGCTTGCTCTCCAAGCTGCCTGGACATGAGGCAGTTCTGGTACAGAAGCAACAGCCTTATCATGGGACTTGTGTGTGAGCTCGTTCCCTCTGCCTCTTGGCAAAACTGCTGCTGGTTTGGGCACAGCACCGTGCTAACATGACTGCATGGTTTCTTTCAGTTTGGCTCTGGCAGCGAGGAGAGACCATGGGGATAGCAGATGTGTGGATGTTTACCAGACTGAAGCAGTGCTTTGGTTTCATCTTATTACCAGAGGGTTCGGTTTTGGAGAAACCTGGGAAGGCTGACAGTAATATTTGGTTTGGTGGTGAGCAATGTTAATGTATCCCAAGCTGCAATGTGAAGATGATGATTATGGAAAAGCAGTGATGTGGGGGGTAACATGCTCAGTAAACCAACCCATGAGCCAGTCATGTGGGCCCCACTATCAGAAGGCTGAGGCATGGAAGGGAGAGTCTCACAGTGAGTTACTGTGAGTGCCAGTGGATGTTAATGGAGGTCTGGAAGAAAAGGACCATTGTAAGCAGGAAGTAATACTGATCATAAAAGGTTCTTTGTCACTCCATAAGATAAAACAGCAATAAAGTTTCAGGAACCTGGGATATTCCTTGTAGCTATGTCTGTGACAGGTTAGGGCTGGAAGAGAGAAACTGCATGGGGAGATGCTGAAGTGCTCTGTCATTCCCTTTAACATGCAAAAAGAAAAGACTGGTTCAGGGCTAACAACCTCAGTTCAGTGCTTCTGTAATTGCAGATAACCCTGTAAGGCTCCTCTCCTCCAAAAGACTCCACAAGCCATGTGCATCATCACCTACCACAGACCTTTCTATGGCAAACTTCTGCAGAGAAGGCCCTGACAGAAACTGGGCCATAGGAGGACTTCAGGGTATCAAAAGGTGTTACTAGCGCCCTGCATTTTTGTCCTAGAAAGACTATGTTTGATTAAAAAAAAGGACGAAGATTCATGAGTGTGTCCCTATGTTACAGGACTAGAGTAGATAGATAGGTAGATAGATAAAATCAGAAAACTGTTTTTGGCAGGCTGAACTGAAGGAAAGTTCCTTCCAAACCCCATATTTTGTAAGTGATAGACGTTCTGGTGGCACTTGGATTTTGAAGTGCTGGTCCTGCTGGGAGTAATATTGCATACCACTGGCCAACTGGCCAAACTGGAGGTCACCAGTAGAAGGCAGGGACCTCCCCTAGCCAAGTGACAGAGACAGGGAAACTTCTGAAATGGGAAGACTGAGCTGTTATGTTTCAACCTTCAGAGTTAGTTTACTCCTCTGCAGTTTGGGTAGAGTTAAGGGAAAAATACAGTATTTTCCATCATCTCGTTCCAAACTTTTACATACTTGAAATTGGGCCTGTCTTATTCTCTGCTTATAGCTGTTTGGCAAAATGGCATTCTGCTGTTTGTGTTTCTGTAATGCAACTCTGTATCACAGCACAGCTGTTAAAGCACAAGTCATTTTTTCCCTCGGGACCTTTGCCTGATAGACCGTCTCCCTATCATGGGAATAGCCCACATCTTGCCCTAATCTCTGCTGAGTCAATGTGACCCGCCAGACCTCGCCTTCAGCCAGGACTGGGTGTTGGTCCATCAGCATTCTCTGCCCAGGCTGCACTTCCATGGTACGAGGATTTCGGCAATGATCCCATCTGGGAGCTCCTGCTTCTCATCCCACCCATCTCCAGCTGCTCCTTCACAGCAACCCCTACGCTGTCACCACACTGCTGAAATGAACCTCAAGGGGAAGGGAGAGAAACACCTATTTACAATTCATCTCTGCCAAGGGGTCTAGTCCTGGCATAGCCTCAAAAACAGGGACCAGTCTGTAGGGATGGGGCTCCCCACATAAACACAGACAGGGCCACCTTCACCTGGTGCTGGTGCCAAAGCTCTTGCCGAATGATGGCCTCTCTTTGCGCTCCTGCTTCTTCCAAATGCAAGAAGGGGAGGAAGGAAATTGCTAATGGTCATCTTGTCAGCATGTGCGAATTTGTAAGAAAGTCAGAGTTGTCAAGGAACTGTGACATACTGTTAATTACTTCTTTTTGTTTGACTATAAATAGCCTCAACTCCCATTACCAGGTTAAGGATAATCTTGCACTTCATTATAAGAGGAATGTCTTTGCTCATGGTTTTGTTATGTGGAGGGTTTCATTAAACATGGGCTGAAGTAGTACACAAGGAAAATTAATTAAATCTGGGTGTGAGAGTGGGAAGGGAATAGCCAGCTTCAAACAGGAGGGTGTACAAGAGTTTAACTAATGGTAGATGCTGCACAGATTCAGCCAAACAGTGCAATTCTGCATAAGGACATTCTGACACTGGCTTATGTCTTGTTTACACTGGATGTATGCCACAAGAGTCAGATATAAACTAAAAGTACATGTCACACCAAAATCAGAGCTTCAATTTATATAAAGCAAACCCCTTGAAAGACACATGTTTTAATTCTCATGTATGTCAGGAAACTGCATCTTTTTGTGTGATCTGATTAACCTGATTAGTTCTTGATATAGCTAGGACATAATTTGATCTTGCATGAAATATTTTTATGAAGTACCTTTTAGCCAGGTACTTACATCTTAATGCAGCCATGTTAAAATCTTCATCTACAGAACAGTTTGGGAACATAACTAAAATAAATCTGAAATCTGATTGTGCTGTAACCAGGTTTAGTGCAGTGTGTGAAGTGAATTGAATGTCTGTCAGATGAAAAATGTCAGAAATTGAACCTACAGTATGCTAGGTTTCTTTGGTCTGTAACTCACACAGAAAACAAATGCAGAGAGAGAAAAAAAAAAGGAAAAAAAAAGTCATAAAGTCACAGCATGCTATTCAGTGGTCAATTAACAAACAAAATCATTTTGCTTGGCTGATGGCTGCTGACAGTTCTGTGGTTGCAATAGCTGGGTGGCCCTTTTTAAAACTATATAAACAAACACTGCACATTCTGATATGGCTGGGCCAGAGTGTCTCATAGTAAAGAATACAATGCTTGCTTTGCCAGCAGACATTTCTCAGGCTGGACTTCCCTGAGATGGTAATTCCACTTTCAGGGTGCATAGCCATGGGTTGAAACAATTGTGGTCTCAGGACGTGAGGCTCTGAACTAATACTTACTGTTTTTGCTGGCTCTAAGAAGTTTTAAAATATTTTGGAGCAGTAGCTCAGCAGGTGAGATCTGCTCTCCTGCAATCAGTTAGCTAGAAATGTTATCTCATCCTCACGGCTCATCCATATCAATTGTGCACTGCCATACGGCCCTGCAGAGCACAGAAACAGGTACTGATGGAAAAGGAACTGCAGCCTCGTCATTTCAGATAAGCTAGAAGATGACAGAGTGCAATTTCCCCTCCTCTGCAGCCCACGGTGCGTTTAAATTACTGAAGGGCCATTCTGCTGCAGTATTCAGGGCAGAGTAGGAGCTGGGTAAGCAACCTGTAACTTGTGTCACCTTGGAGATGAAATGAGGACTCACAACAGACTAAGAAAAGTTCACCAAGAGGAAGACAAAAAAACGTGTAATGGCAGACTTTAAAAGACTGTCTACGGTAGGTAGGTAAGGAGACAGTAGCCTATTTCAAACATTGTATAATTTCTGAAAATAAAAGAAATGGAGATGAAAAGTGTCTGGGCTGATAGTGGTAGTTATTATTCGGATTCAAGTTTGTTGGCTGCTCAGTATTACAAAAACGTTTTGTGCTCAGGAGTGTGGTTCTTCTGTTTTGGCAGGCTCTTGGCACAAGAATGAAAGTTATTTCCTTAATATGAGGACAGCATGAGGACAAATGCCTGGAATGGTGGAGGTCTGGCTTCAAGTCACTGCTTGCTTTGGGGGTATTTGTGTCATGTAACGCTGCTAAGCACTTCACTGTCTGGGGTCCTGCTATAATCAATGACAAGAGATAACAAATCCTGTTCTCCATCACTTTGAAAGAGCTTATCTCTCCCTTGTGACCACAGAGAAAGCCCAAGAAGATGAGCTAACTGACTTCGGTTGCAGTTTTACATTACAAAGCATTTCACAGCTATTCTGGTTTAAAGCATCATCTCCTTCCTCTCCCTACAGACCCCTCCCCAAAGATTTCTTCTCTCATTTACACCCCATCCAGTGGCACGCTATCTCTTCAGCTGTGCAGCTGCACTGTAAACAGCCTTGCGCAACCACTTGACTTAGAAAATAACACAAAGAAAATTATTTTTCAGATGGATTCTTCCAGTGTGGTTCCAGAGTGGCCACACAAGCAGCTCTGCCAGCACAACTGGTGCTCTCTTGTCAGGGGCAGGATAAGGCAGCAGAGGGAAGAAGCAACTGCACTGGCTGAGGGTGCTCATAGTGTCACTGCACTCTGAGCTTCTGGAAAACATGTCCACACTCCTGGGGCACGTCCCAAGCTGTGTCCAAGCCCCTTTACCAGGGTAAAGCTTGAACAAGCACCAGCCCATCCCTCTATTCCTTCCCATTGTCCTTGTGTTCATGGGAAAGAAAGACAAAAGTCTCTTCTTCCCATCCCAAAAAAATGATATGGGAGCAGAGATGTGCTCTTCCACAGTGGGGTGGGAGCAAGATCCTCCAGCACCTGCTGTTGAATCTACAGGTATCTGTTGTGAGCCAGGTCAAGGGACTAAAATTTAAGTTGAACAATTTCACTCCTTAGACTTATGTATGGCCTTGGGCAGACATTTGCTTCATAACCTTCTCTTCCCATACCAAACTGGAACAACAACACTTTTGCAGCTTTCCAACTCATAGCAAGAGCTGCTATGAGGCCAGAGGCCATCAGATTTGTGACGAAGTTCAGGCAAGCTCAAAAAATCTAGAAGAAGACTGTAGTGTCTTCAATGCCAGATTTGCTGATAACACAATTCAGACTAAGCAGGAGCCAATTTCTGCTGGCTTTCTCTCAAAGGCAGCCTCATGACAGAGCTTTCTTGTGATGTGGCTTTACTCTGTAACTGCTGGTTGTCAGCCTCTATTGTAACATCATTCTGCAGTAAGGCATCTGTTGCTTGGGGGCAACAGAAAATGGATGCTTCTTACAAGTAATAGAAGTGCCATTGATTTTGGTGAGGGCTGTTATATGAATTATAGAAAGGTCCCTTCAGACTTGCACACTGGCACATGAGGCAATGAAAATCAAAATTACCCTCTTAACTGCAAACATGTAATGTGCTGGAAAGGGGATCAGAGTAGTGGGAGTCAACTAAAACAACTATGTGGTCATATTCTGAGATACTGCCAGAAGTAATGTTTGTAGGGGCTTTCAGAAAAAGAAGGGAAATGATGGCCTGAGATTGATTATAGGCCCAAAGTGTATCACAACAAAAGCACCAATTTACAGCAGAACTTTTAACTCCCTGATTATAAAAGAGCACAAAAATCAGTCATAAAGTTTTAAATAGCAACAAAGTCCCATGCTTTTGAATTACTCTGCAATTCAATAGCTACAAAATATGTGTATAAAGTTCTATGATGGGAGGACAGCTGTGGCAATAGATCTTCAAAAAGGCTTCTACAAGGCTTCTCTGCTGCTTGAGCCAGTCACTGGATAAATAGGCATGTACCAGGTGCAAGTTCTTACTTCATAACAGTTTTATGCAGAGATGTGGTCAAATGCATGCAGAGAGAAGCAGAAAAAGGTGAGCAGCAGTTAACTTTATGGTTCTGTGTCACTTGACCAGGAACCTGCACACCAGGCTGCACCATGCCAATGGAAAGAGCACACACCTGCACCCTGCTACAGCTGAAAAACTACCCTCCACCAGCAGAAAGAAAAGCACAGCAAGCCAGCTAGAGTGGTCTCTACCGAATAGCTGGACTTCTATTTTCTGTCTGAAGAGTGAGCTAATACAAATGTACCCAGCTACACTGGCATTGTAAACAAGCTGGCCAAGAGCACATCCTCTGTGGACATTGGCTTAGACTCAGAAGAAGCCATTCACAATTTGTAGGAATCCTTGATGCAGCAACACAGAATTGTCCCACAGGATTGTCTGCCCTTTTTTACATATGATTGGGAAGCTAAAGGCAGTTCTAATCACACAAGCATCAATACAGAAACAAACACCAGTGATCGTCTCTTTTTATTTGGTTCTGAAACACATCCAGATTTACCCCAGGGAGCTAAGACATTGCCACACCACTGTACAGAGCTGCTGCAGACATTCATCGCCCATCTGGAAGTGACCACCAGAGGGTAGTGGACTTGAAAAGCTATTGCATCCCTGTTGATTTATCTTCTTTTCAAATGAGACTTCTGCTTGTCCAGTTGCCATTTGAAGTTTATTTAAAGTTTATTTAATCATAACTAATATATTAGAATTTTTGCCTTAATTTCCTTACATACCAGTTTCTCACCAGGACCTGTAGTCCAGACATCATATTCAATGTGATTGTTTATTTTCATAGGCCGGTTGAATCCATATCTTGCAGCTTCTCATAAATAACTCCTCTTACACAGCAGATGTTCTCCTCCAGGCTATTGTTATCTCACACCTTGAAGATTACTATTTCACCTTTTCCTTTCTCCTTTCTTTTAAAAGCACTTTCTCTTGAGTCCTGCTTATTTCTAGAGTACTAATGGCTTCATCTCTATTTAATGCTACGAGGGATTCACAGAGCATGTTGCCTCAGCAGAAACATACTTTATCATGGAAGTGCTCAAAGGACCCATCTCTTACTAGCACTCCAATCCTGAGATGACTTTTGCATGTTATATTTGGATCCGTGCAAGCCTGTAGATTCTGCCTGTTGAGTGGAGTTGCTGGCAGTGTCAGCACGAAGAATCAGTGCTTGAGAAGAGATCATTACAGAGAGTACCCACAGTGGTACCAAGGACTGCAAATAATGATAAGAAAATGGGGCAGAGTTTAAAGGATGATGCACAAGATCAGATGCTTCTGCTTCTTTCAAGATAGTCTGATGATATTTTCAAGAAACAGAAGTTCACTGTGAGCTCAAGTGCTCATAGGTTTATAGAAGGAACATAGGCACATACTGTCCAGCACATCCCCCTTTGGTTGTGGCCTTGTTACAGCACAAGGATGCCTGCACAGAATACTAGCAGAGTTACTGCAATTGTGTAATTACATTGATATGGAAATAGCAGTAAATTTTTGCATAGACAACTCCTAAAGTAATCAAATAACAAATGTTCAATCTGTAATGAACCCTAGAGTGAGAATTAAATTGAACATAAGAAATTGCTGAATATGGTGTCGCTTCTGCTTCTTAAAACATCAGTTGTTTGGTTTTAACATTGCTTTCTACATCTGTGCCCTTGACTATGTAGTCTGATGTCCAACTTTATATATATATATATATATACATATATATATACACACTATTAAACTCTGTACAGTATTGTAAAAGAGAGAATCATTTGGTCCTTTGGTTGAAAAAGAAGTGTAGGGCTGGAGAGGCTGCTGCACGCAGCGCAAAGCAAGTGGTCTGTCAGCTGAAGCTCCAAGGCTCACTAACAGGGTTGGATTGTGCACTCCAGCTCCCAAGTAATTAAGTTGTTTGATGCTGGTCTGAGACTGATGAGGGTTTGATACAAATAAACACCAAGAAGTAGTGTGAAGCATTGAAGTTATGTGGGGGAGAAGAAGGAAGAATAAACAAGACACCATAGTTTCTACATATCAGAGCCTCCCCCCTCAAAAAAAAACAAAAACAAAAACAAAAAAACTCCCAAGAGAAAACAACAACCTTACAAGAATGGGAATGTGTCAACTACAGAATATGAAATACCAGGGCAACCATCAGAAATGCTGAGGGCATTGCAAATGAGCTGATATCTCTTGTTTGTAACATGAAGTTAATTACAGAAGGGAACCTCTGTCCTAACACTGAGGAAACTGTCCTGTTGGCAGAGGTACCACGTTGCAACGATCCCCCTTCAAAGACTTTCTTGCTGCAGGACATCCCCATATTAGGTGAATGACAATGATGTCACCAAAACTTTGATGACCCAATGAGAGCCAGAGCAGAGAGCTCACTGCCATGTGGGAACTTTCAGGTTTCAGGTCTGTGTAATCAAAACTGTGCTGCAGCCAGGAGGGGAGGAAACTGGGCTCTGCTCTAGCATTGCACTGCCAGCCAGCTAAGGACAAAGTCCTAAGCAGCTGTTCTTGTGTAAGACATCTGGGTTTTGGCAGCTTTATATACAAAGAAAAAATAATAAAAATTTGTAGCTAATTTCTGGGCCAAGAGATAAGATGAACAAGAAAAAATTGAATTAACCTTTTATTAGAGAGATTAATCATTACCAGTCCACGAGGCTGCTGAAAGGGGATTTTCTGGACTCAGACCCTAGGGTAGGCTTTGAGGGTATTAATATAAGGTGGAGTACAAGGCGTCATATCACCAGACATGCTGGCAAAGCAGGATGAATCAAAGGATGGGTCAGGGTGTGTGTAAGGGAAGTGCATGGGAGCGGTCCTTTGCGTGACAGAAAATAATGATTTAATATTTTGGTAGCAGATTTAATTCATGGGAAGGCATGGAAACTAAGGCTGCTCAGTGAGGAATGAGTTTGAATTTGGCCAATGGGAAGAAGTGTGGAGGTGAGAAGGATCGGTCTTGGGGGCAGGAAGGTGTTCAGTCACCACCAAGGAGCTAAGGTAAGCTGGCTGCTGCAAGGACTGCCACAATTCCACGGGTGCAGAAGATAAAATGTGGCCTGGGTCATCACCTATATTTGCCCTGTCATAAAAGGGCGTCCTAAGGCCTGTGCTTTGCAGAGTACTAGCTAAGAGTGACATTCAAAACCATTGGGAATACACCTGTCACACCTTCAGTTTGCCACGTCCTCCTAATCCGGAGGAGTAGCTGAAACACAGGCAAAACTCTCCTAGACACACGAACGAGTTTGGTCCCATTTCACATTCAGAAGGAAACAGACACAACAGCCTTCAGAAAACGAGTCTGTTTCTAGAGAGGTAACTTCTCACTTTTGCACTAACACTGGTGCAAATGTCATTGTGGCTGAGGGAATACCTGTGTGGTGGCATTTGTCACTGTGTTAAGCTAATCATCTATCTCAGCTGGAAAACCTGTGACTGTAAATATGAGACCAAATAGCATATGGATAACAACTATTAATGGACTATTTTGCACTGTGCATGTTTATGCATGTGTTTGTGTGGGTGGTGAGTGCATACAAGATGTTCCTGCAGATTCTTGTAGAACGGAAATTTGAAAGTGGAATTGAAAGTGGTGAAATTGCTGTGTGCTGCATTAAAGTAAAAGAGATGGCGTGCAACCAGATGGTTCTCCCAGAAGTCTTTGCTATAGACTGGTATTGGCCTCAAAATATTAGCAAGATTATGCTTGCTGGTAAATGTCCATACCAAACTGATGATGCATTAAGGAGCAGTGTTTTTAATCAATAAGTGTTTGTTTATCATGTTGATTTTATTCTCCCCAGCATATTCACTGTCATAGTGAAAAGATCCTAAGATGAATGAGCTCCAGCATCAAAAGAAGATGTCAGAAGAATCTTTAGAGTTTATCATCTTCTTATGTGGATTTGGAGGTTTTAGACACTTGCTAAATTTTGGAGTTAAAAGAGAACAGCTTTGACTGATGATGCAATGTAATGTTGGGATTGCAGGAAGAGAAGATCCCAGCAGAAGGCCAGCACACAGATGTGTCAGATGATACTGCATTCCACACACTAGAAGTCATGATCTCCTCACTGAGCCATCAGCAGCTTTGCTTCGGACTTCCCTACATTTGAAAGCACTCAGACACACTGGGAGAAGTTCCAGTCATCGTAAATAAATTTAGCCTACTGCTAAAAAGCTAGGAGGTGCCTCAAAATCATAGCACTTTTACAGTAAGTGATAGTAACAGGGCTCTTCACCTAGAATTATATTCTGCCAAACAGCATTAAGCTATTTAAAGAATAGAGTTTGGTCTTTTAGAGTAAGTGTTTTATGTTCCTTGTTTGATTTAACGGGGCAAAGGAACTTATATGTCACTTAACAGTTAAGGGTATTTTCCTGGCTGTTTTGTTCTCTGATACTCTTTGGAAATACACTTGGGTATGAGCCCTTGAAAGGCTATCCAGCCCCACGCTTAGAGTCACAGAATCATGGATGAAGTCAGACTGTAAGATACCTGGAGGCCATTGGGCTGCCTACCTCCTTGTAGCAAGGCCAGCTTCAAAACTAGGTGAGGTTGCTCAAGGCCTGACCTGGCTAAGTTTTGAAAATCATCCAGGACTCCACTGCCCCAGGCACCAGTTCCAGTGCATAATCACCTTCATGATGAAATTTTCTTTCCTTATATCCAGGCAGAGCTTGCCTTACTGCAGCCTGCATCCATTTCCACTCACACCTTTCCCGGTTCATCTCCAAAAAGAATCTGGCTCCTTCTCCCCTATATTCCACATGGTAGTGGAAGATGGCAATTAGCTTACCCCTTCCCCTTCTCTTTTCAAGGCAGAACAAACCTTTCCACCTCAGTGTCATGTGCCCCAGCCCCTGTCATAATTCTGGTACTCTGCTGGACTCCCTCCCATAAGCTGGGCACAATCCTCCAAATGAAGCCTCATGAATACTAGATAGTGTGAACTGTCCTGCTGGCAAGTTTCTTGCTAAGAAAGATCTTCTTTCATGCCTTTCTTGGAGATGGGTGCGACATTTGCCTTTCTTCTTGTCATTGGGGACCTCATCCAATTGCCATAATCTTTCAAATATGATAAAATGTGGCCTTGCAATGACATCAGCCAGCCCTCTCATAACCCTTGGATCTGTGCCATCCCAGCCCAAGGACTTGTACATGTCCCCATGCTTATGCTGATGTATTTGTTTACGCAGTCTCTGACTTAATCTTCCTCTACTATTAGCAATATTCATCTCCTCCAAACTCTGCCACAAGACATACAGGTCTGAGAGGCTGAAGGCAGTGAAGACTGAGGAAAAGAAGGAATTGAGATCTGCAGCCTTTTCTGTATCTCCTGTTCCCAGGTCTTCTGCCCCAAACAGCACAGCATTCTCTCTGGTTTTCCTTTCACTGCCAATTTACCTACTGAACTTGCACCTTTTATGTTAGGATTGTTCTGATCTGGTAATATTTTCTCCTGGGGAAGTTTGAGCATCCAAGCCCTGCAATAAATTTCTAGTTTTGAAACTCTGGTCTGGTTCTGGCATTATTTCAATAAATGTTTTAGTATGATAAAAGAAAGCAGGAGGCTGTGAATAAGAACATCTGCAGAAAAAGACAGCTATGGACCCAATCAGACAGTCTCTTGCTGAGCTGTTACCAGTCAGATTATTCCTCACATAATGATAAATAGTTCTTTTAAAAAATTAATAATAATTTCATAAAAAAATCATTATGCACTGAAAAACAAAACAAAACAAAAAAACAACTCTTAACTCATTCTCCAGACTGTAGCTCAGCACAAAAAGAAAACACAGATGTTTCATAACACAGCTGTAGAGTGAGCTTTTCCAGGTTTGAGAATTTGGCACCCTCCTGCCTCTTTGGGTCTAGAAGTAATGGCTCAGGGTGGATGTGGCAAAGCATGGGTGTTCATGCAGCCCTAACTGCACTGTGGCAATGTCACGGACATCCAGGGATAAGGATTACACCCACCAGCAAAAGCTCCTAGGATTCATTAGGGACTGAACTAGAGATAATATGTGCCAGGGGGGTTGATTTTTAGGTTATTCCACAAAATCATAAGTCATTTGCAACTATATAAGTGATTCGCTCAATTCACAGACTTTTACAGGCTACCCAAGTTAGAAATTTGACATAGAGGAATGCACAGGGATTTTTAGCAGTTTAAGCCCTTTGTAGAATATATGTGGTAGAGAATGGGTGCACTTTTGCTCAATCTCTTATACATTGGTTGTAATCCATTTGCCTGAGGACTGCAGTGACCATTGTTGGTATAACTGTAAATTATTAATTGCCTCAAGAAAAGGAAGAAGGCTACTATTATCCAAATGGCTATTACTGAAGCAAATTGCCTTGATCATTCCTCATAGGGCAATGCTGTAAACATTTATTTCTTCCTGGAGGCAGGTGTATCTAGTGTCTGTGGCTGCCGAACACAAGGTTGCTTCATACATGCATTCAGTGATGAGACTGAGAATCTCACGGCTTTACAAAGCATCAATTTCCAAACCCCTTCCATTCCACAACTGCAGGTAACATCTTGTAGGCTCCTTCATGTATCAGTTCCTGCAGCTACTTCCTTTTGGATGCAAAACCTGCAGTCTCCCTCCCTACCTCTCCCAACCCATATATGGAATGTAACACAAACTCAAGTTCACGTGCATTTAAACATACTTTTGTCATAGCTAAAAAGACTAGAAGGCTATTTAATAACAGTAAGTAACTAAATAAACAGAATAACATTTGCTGTTGAGGGGCAAATTACAACTGTTAGGGTAAATTCTCTTCAGTGTGATCTAGGAAACTATTAAGACTATTTATCAATTCCCACTGCTCTTCATGAGAATGAAGGATCATTGGTGTTTCATGGTTTCAACCATACTATGTTACAGAACCAAAGTACAAACAAGATTACCCACTGTTCTATGGTACAAAGATTTCCTCTGTGAAGAATTAAGATGAATAGAATTAATGATCTGTAGAAAGGGAGAAACTCCAGTTACCAGGCAGATCCCCTATTCTGTAGCCACTCGAGTTTATGCAAAGAAGCACAGCAATGCACTAAGCTTTCTCCCTTTGGGACCATGGAAATGGATCAGTCTTTTTTTTTTTTTTTAAGTGCTTTATCCAGATCTGTTTGGCACAACAAATGGATACTTATTGATTTTGTCTGAGCTTATAGCTTTGTCATAATAGGGTCAGATTTTTCACAGGGGACTGTTTAGTCTCGAGGGACAGAAGGGGACAAGAAAACAACATAACATTTTTAAGAACTTAAGAATTAAACATTGCTTTTCTGCTACAAGAGAGTGCGATGAAAGCAGGCTTGATTTGTTTCTAGAAAATAAGAAGATGAAGAAAAAAAAAATGTTTGGATGAAGCAGAAAATAATGGGATTTTCTGGAAGCAAATAAACAGCATTTTTCACCTCCTAAAATACCTACCATGCAATGATAAGTATGATAATAGTGAGCACTGTGTTGGTGCCCACAGCATTAGGAGAAACTACTGTCTCTCACTGGGTAATTAACCTTCCATTACCATCCAAGAGGGTGGGATGAGATAAGCTGTATGGTAGGTGGCAGGAGCAGAACAAAGAGGATCAGAGATGTGCGAAGGCAAGAAGCTAACAGGTATGGAAAAATGAGACATAAAGGTTTACTAAAAAGAAATGCTTCTACTCACTGCCTCCTCTTTTCCCTGTGGCAAGACACAATGCTAGAAACTAGGATGTTCTCAGCTCTCCCAGATCTACTCGTCTTTCTTTAGCAATGCTTATGTTCTAGACCTGCTTATTTCCTAGCAAAATCTTGTCATTTTCCTAACGGAAATAAGCAGTTCTGGTAGCTTCTATCTCACTTATAGGGTTAACAGAGGCTGAGAATGTAAATGTATGCAGCTACAGAAATCTACCGCCTATGATTCTTTCAAAGCACCATATCATGTGGCTGTTGTTTGATTCAATAGATGTTAGACATGAAAAGACCTTAGAAGTATCCACTAACCACGTGCTACCTTTCCAGGCACATGCGTGCCTTTAAAAATGAAACACTAGTTCATTTCTAAAAGTGATATGGAAGTTTAAGGTTATGCCTTACAGTGGGTCTCCAGGGAGAAAGGTCAGAGGAGTTAGGCAGGGGTCTTTGCAAAACCTTTGTAGGTCTTTCTGACTTGCTTTCATCTTGCCTGGTAGATCAAGTTGGGTGCTGAGTAAGAAACCTGAACTTGATTGTTCATTGATGGAAAATAAAAAAGTTTGGCTTGCATTAGACTGCACAACATCCACAACTCAAGGCCCCTCTTTTGTCTAGAGAACAGCCATGCCACCTTTGACATGGAGTGCTCTACCCAAACTGCCTAAAGGTTTAGTAAGTGTAGAGTAAGGGAAGCAAATGTTACAAGGTCTAGATTATGAATAAGAGATGTTACACACAGGAGAGTTGATTCATTTTGTCTGGCCACCTCTGTGGACCTGAGGGAGGTCTTTCACAAGGACTCACTTGGCCTGGCTTTGTGTCTTCAGTTTCCCAAGTCTGCTTTATAACAATAAATTCAAGGTCTATATTTTATAAATAACTGCTTTACGTTCAATATATTAATCCTGTTGAAAGCGCAGATGTCCATTTCTTCAATGGAATCATAATAATAGCTTGTCTTCCTTAGAAACCGGCAGAGTGGTGTGAATAAAAGAGCTCTGCTAGACAGCAAAGTATGCCAAATGGACATATTTTACTAGATGAGAAAACAGCTTGTCACTTCTAATTGTTCAAATTATGTGTGATTCAGTTCTTCCTGCGGTTATTTTAAAAATGTTGTTAAGAGGGTATAATGTGCAGCTAAGAATAAAAAGGGTGTGAAATTGCTAGCTCCCCTGGTAGGTAGGTGGTGATAATGAACATTTCATAAAGTTCTTGTTAACAGATAAATCTCTGTAGCTCTCAGGAAGTCTCTCATAGTGTTAATAGTCTCTCACTAAAGTAATGGTTCTTGTGGAATAAACACAGGTTTTTATCTGTTGCCTTTTTTTTTTTTTTTTTCTCCCCTCCTCTTTTCTTTTGCTTAATTATGTTTTATAGAACAGAGCTAAAGTCAGAGTGAGGGGGCAGCACTCCAGGATATGAACCATCATGCAGGTGTCTCAAAGTGACATCTGAAGCTGCTGGTCAGGGCCCCTGGGCATGGCCTGCAGGTGGCCCACAGGCCATGCTGTGGGCTTGGCCACGTGCCTCTCTCTCACCATTAGAATAGCTGCAGCAGACACTTCTCTGGTTACTGCAGACCCCATAACAAGTCTTATTATCACAGCTTAGTCCACAAATCCAAAATTCGGGAACCATTGACTCATATTTTTTTCTGGTCTGTTAACTACTGTTGTTCTTAAACGGGTATATAAAAGGTTTGCTAAAGTAGCCAGATTTCTCTGGGATATCAAAGGAAACCAGATCATCCTAAATAAGATGTTGTGCAAGATTATTTACTTATTGTTTATTTATTGAACAACTACAACTGGGCAGATCTCAGCCCTAGGCTTCTGCACAGGCAGGGTCTGGAGGGCAGCAGTCCTGAAGCAGGTGGCCATGCCAGCAGACACCTCTCATGTCAATGACGTTTTAGCAGCAGAGCTGTGCTTTGTCAGTAGAGCTTGTCTTGTCTCTGGGACATCACCTGCTGCTCTTTGACCAGGCCACGGCCTGGTCATTTCTTCTGCGTGGAGAAACTGCTGTTTGGAGATGAGGTTGAAGGAGGGTACAGAGGAGACAGATGGAAATGGAGTGGAAGAAGCAACAGGAACTTCAGTTCCACTCCAGCCATCACAGCACCCTTGGAATAAGATGAGCTCTTTGCATGGACAGGGAGTGAAACCTCTCAACGCTAAGGGGAACACCGTGTTCTTACATGTGTGGGTGCTCACAGGGATTGCCTGCACCTCTGACATAGAGGCATTTACAGATGGAGTGTATCAGTCTCACACACATGCCCTAGTCTGACTAAATGGCTTTGTTTGCTGGGCTCCTGCATAGCCTTATCCTGCTGACCTTTGTTCTTGTTCAGTTAACCTGACTTGGTAGATAACCAGAGCTCCTTCAGTCTATGCCATGCCTTGCTTTGCTGGCAGGTATCTTGGAAGTCTTGTTGCTGGCATTGTAAGTGCAAGATTCCAACAAGCACCAGGGCTTCTGATAGTGGGTCATGCAAGTGGTAAATTCTCCAGAATCCTGTAAACATAATTTCTTCCTGACTTTGGGTCTGGCACTATACAGTTCACTTCACAGGGTGACCTCCACATTTGTACTCACTTTTTGTGTAGTATCTCATCGCCCAGTGGAGCTTATCTCATTCAACTTCAGATGTTTATGATGTGAATCACTATCTGAGGTAGTCATGGTAAGCTCACTTTATAGCTAATGGAAATGGATACTTTTATAGTGAGATTTATTTGCACTTCATCTTTTCATCAGCAACTTTAAATGAAATGGATCATGCCTTAGCCATGTCTTTTTTTC